CCCGGTTCCACCGCAGCCTCCGCGGGCGCCTCTTCCCCCGGCGGAACCATGGCCACCGAGCACAGCTACATCCGCACCGTCCTGGGCCACCAGACCCTGCAGGAGCTGGACAGTTCCACCCTGGCTCTGCCCTCCGAGGACCGGCTCAAACAGCAGGGCAGCCGCGCCGGGCAGCAGAAAAGTATCCGCATCCAGCAGCAGGTCCAGCAGTCGCTGGCCAGGAAAAAGAGAGGCTCCGTGGGCAATGGTGAGTGCCCCCAAGGGCCCCGTCCTGTTCCTCCCGCCTCCTCTTTTACCTCCCTCTTAACTGCAGTTCCACCCTGGCTCTGCCCTCCGAGGACCGGCTCAAACAGCAGGGCAGCCGCGCCGGGCAGCAGAAAAGTATCCGCATCCAGCAGCAGGTCCAGCAGTCGCTGGCCAGGAAAAAGAGAGGCTCCGTGGGCAATGGTGAGTGCCCCCAAGGGCCCCGTCCTGTTCCTCCCGCCTCCTCTTTTACCTCCCTCTTAACTGTCTCCTCTCCCCTTTCCCTCAGCCCCCCCTTTCACCGCTCACCCCTTCTCTTTCTTTCCCCACCTCTTCTTTCTGTCTTCCCCTCTCTCTGCGCTTTCCTCATAACTTCTATCCCTTCTTCCTCTTTCCTTTTCCTCCTCACTCTCCTTCTTGTTCTTTTGAGCCTTCCTCCCTCCCCCTTTACCCAGCTTCATGCCAACAATGTCTCTGGGACATTTTTCTTCTTCTTTACAGCCCTTTCAGGGGACACCAGTATTCTGTTTGAAGGAGATGCTGATATTCTTTGCATTCCCATGTTGCTTAGAGGAAAGTTTGAAACCTTCAGGAGTCAGATGTTTTCTCTCCTCCCTCCCCCCTTGTCCAAACCATTCTGCCTGTCTTCCCTCAGTTGGACTGTTATGCTAAGACGAGCTAAGGTTCTCCATTTTTCTAGCTTCTGTCAACTGTGTGGTGTGTCTGGTAGACATTGTAGCTATATAAATATAACCTGGAGTACTAAAGGATTTAGGAGCACAATACTGATTCTAGAGTCTATTGTATTTCTGCTCTCACAGTCCTTTTCAAGATTCAGAGGGATAGCCAGTTGGTCTGTAACAGGAAAAACTTAAAAAACAACAAATAGTCTATTAGCACCTTAAAGGCTAACAAAACATATAGATGGTATCATGAGCTTTTGTAGGCACAACCCACTTCTTCAGTGGGCCCACAAAAGATTATGATACTATCTACATGTTTTGTTAGTCTTTAAGGTGCTAATAGACTATTTGTTGTTTTTTAAGTTTTTCCTTTTGAAGATTGTGAGTCTTTTAAGTTCAGAATAGTTTTCTAAGTGTCTGTAAACTGCACTAGGCCTTTAGGACATGGTTTAAAATTATTTTAATGTCTGTGACTTTCCTGCCTTGTACAACATTTACCATAAGATCTTAGTTGTGTCTCTTCCTCTTTTTTAATGCTCTCTCTCTCTCACTTTCCTTTCGGATTAAATAAATTAGCTCCGATTATCTTTTCTCACTACAGTGTTTTTATAGTAGTGTAACTCCGTTGACTTCAGCTGAGTTACTCCTGGTTTACCAGGATATGAAAGAATTGTGTCTCTTCCCAACCCTCCAACCTGCAACTCTAGTGTGTTTGTTTTAATCCTCTTTTAATAACTATATTTTCTAATTGCCTCCATTTGCAAAAGAAAATGGAAAGAAATCAAATATTGTCTTGCCTGCCTTCAGACTGCAAACAAAAAGTAAACAAAGGAGAAGCGTAATAAAATACACATGGGAAAGGAATGATTGGGAGACATGGAAACAATAATACCATAGAAAATTATTATTCACGCTATGCATTGGTGTACGTAGAGCATTACAGTTAAGTAAAAGGGAGTTCACCGTTTGAGTCCTTGACCCCCTGGGTTGGACTCATGCAGCGTAGCCACACCCTTTGCATACAGTGTGAATCCAGAACCTAAGAACCTGAGAGCTTCTGAGGAGCTGCTGAGTGCATTTGGCTCTTCATGGGGTACGGCCCTACATTATTATTAATTGGTGATGGAAATATTTTATTTTTAAACAAAGCTGAGAATCAATCATCATGAATCAGAGGGGTAGCCGTGTTAGTCTGAATCTGCAAAAGCGACGGGGAGTCCTGTGGCACCTTATAGACTAACTGAAGTGTAGGAGCATAAGCTTTCATGGGCAAAGACCCACTTCGTCAGATGCATGTGGGACATGCATCTGACGAAGTGGGTCTTTGCCCACGAAAGCTTATGCTCCTACACTTCAGTTAGTCTATAAGGTGCCATAGGACTCCCCGTCGCAATCATCATGAAAGCTTTCATCCTATTTTTAAGTAAAAAGATTAGTTATCGACTCATTTTTTGTTCTAGTCTGCTCCAACAGTGTGAGAGGTCTTGTACTGAATTTTAAGTATTGAAGCAATCTCTTTTTTTCTTCTCATAAAAACATGAAAGTACCCCCATTGATATATATGTAATTCATCCCACTGTCTTGTCCCAATCAAAAAAAAAAATCTGGTCTAGTGCTGTTGATGACTCTCAGCTAAAAAATATTTACCACTAAAAATGAAAGGGATAGAGTCACAGCTCTACCTTCCTCAAAAAACTTTGCAGGACATCCATCAAAATCTCATACCTTTGGTTTCACCATCAAGTGTTTAAAAAGTCTGAGGGGTAACCATATTAGACTGTAACCATAAAAACACGAGGAGTCCTGTGGCCTTAGAGACTAATAAATTTATTAGGTCATGAGCTTTTGTGGGTAAAACCCACTTCATCTGACAGTGCCTGTGGTTTAGTCAAGTTCTTAGTAGCTCTAGGCAGAATATAGTTTATATACAGATTCCTGTCTTGTGAGTTTGAGTATAAAAGAAACTTCCAAACATTTTAACAATTGGCATTTATTCCATTGAAATGCATTTTTATTTTACTTTATTTTAGGGCTGACAATAGAGCTGAGACCAGGCTTCTTTAAACTGAATCTGCAAATAGGAGTGGGTTAGGACAAAGGACATGCCAACACTCCCAAAACACTCAGAAAGAGAGCTACAGACCTATTTCCTTCTCTAATTCTTTTTCAGGGTGTCTGCGATTCTGGCAGATTTGGGATATTTGGGGGTTTTATTTGCTTTATTTATCTGAAATTCAAGTATTTTTGCATTTTGAATTTTTGAAATGCCAATTTTTTTAAAGAAAATAGGCTTCAGAAGCAATAATGGTACATAAAACACTGCAATATGTGCACTAGTTATACAAATAAGGACTTTGAACCACAATTCTTCCAATTTATTGACTTCCTGTGCTCAGTTTATCATACTTCAGGTTATTTCCAGTTCAAAGCACAGAAAGACCCAAGAGACCTAGAATTTGCTTATATTTATACTTAAATTAGCCCCTCCCCCGAGATTTGCCACTGTTTTAGGTGGAAAAAACACTCATCTTCCTAAATTATGAAGCCTTTCAAACTTTGCTTTGACACTATCGCCTAAATATAGATTACAGGCCTAATCCTGCATCCCTTAAATTTGATGGGAAAACTCTCATGCACTTCAAAAGGAATACACAGTCCCCTGCAATATAATGGTAAGCATTTC